ACCATTATCACGTCGTCGACGTAGTGCATAGGAACGAGCGGCATGTGACCGTGCTGCATGGGAGCGAGTTGTATGCGAGCGCGGGTATTGACGTGTGTGAGACTGCGTATCTGAACCCACACCCATGGCCATCCACCTGGCCAGCATATCTGGTGTCGCAAATGAGATCAGCGCAGGCATGCCATCCGAGGAGGACGAGTCTTGACTGGAATCCGACATCAGCTCTGGCGGACCATCGTTATCTGTAGTGCGTGGGTAAGTGGGGCTAATTCGTACTGAGGAATCGTGGTCGTACTCGCTAATGCTTACTTGTCTGTCGCTGCTAGCTGTGTTGCCTGTCCTGCGCTCCACCCCATCCTCATGTGTATCCCTATGTGAATATTCATCTCTTCGGTCTGAGCTGGCGCCAGTATTCCTTCTATTTTGACCAGCGCTGGACATATTACGCCTAATCTCAGGTGCATCATTGAAACGAATATTCAACAATGATGCATATTCTTCTGCCGTCAGGCTATGCGGTGCACGCATGTCGTTAACACGTCTGGATAGTATATCCAGACTACTGCGCATGTGACCAATCATGTCTAAACTCGCATCAATGTCTATATCACTCAGTTGAGTCTGTTCAGTTCTGCCACATTCATCAGTGTGAGCGGGCACCATTTGAAGATCCCACATAATCAATCCCATCTTGATTCAACGTACTTTCGAAATATAGTCCAACAAGCGACAACTTACTTTCGAATTATAGTGCAACAAGCGACAACTATGGCAAGTGTGGTAACTTCTGACCGCACCGTACGATTCTGTAGATATATGTTTTTAAGTCTTTATACGGTAATGCAAGTGCCAGCAAAGTATAGGTAGGTTACTACTATTTGCATAGCTGCCTATTTAAAACATGTTGTATCAGATAACATATTCATATATCGTATATATATAGACATAAAAGTTAGGAATATGACAACGCATCATTTCCGAGGTAGTAAACGATACGGTCGTTTATGAACATCGATCATATCCCCAAATGTTCTTTACATTTCCGCCGAGTTTAATCGCTTTCCAGAGTCATTCGACTTTGCTTCATGTCGTTTACCATACCACGGCGATTTTTAGCTTTCTTATTTTACCCAATAGAAAACGTCCATTGGTTTCCACTTACTTCGGTATTCTCAAAAACTAAAAACAGGACTCAATTTGTCCAAGCAACACTCTACTGCTATTTTTATTACTCACGTATAAATACATACAATTATACATATATGTATTTGACTTTTCCTTTACATAAAAAACCCATGGCTTAAAATATAGGCGTATTCTAAAAAAAACTGGCTAAAACCACTTTTTCTTCTTCTTCAAATTAAAGTTTATTCTGTGGGTGTGGACTGTGGACTGTGGACTGTGGATTCGTCTTTCTGTGGAGTGATACAGTGGATAGCGGACTGTGACAGTGTTACTGTGTGAGACTGTATGTGTGATGCAAGTTGTGACTTGTGACTTGTGACACCCAAAACCGAGGCCAAAATCAAAAATGAAACTCATAAGGTAAAAGCCTTCTGTTCTATAAATAGATTTTGGGTTGTAGGGGTTTATGTTTATCATTGGACCACAGTTTAGTTCCAAGTCGCGACCAGTGAATATCATCGCTACATGACCAATGAAAGCAAAATAAATTCAATATTACTCTGCAATCACTAGCAACTGTTTTACACATTCTATAAAATCGTGCATGCAGAAATATAAGTAGTGAATATTTTGTACAAGTTTTAACTTTTATCCCGGGGTTGTCTGTGGCTCACTCGTGTCATCGTTCCTGATTGACAAGTATGCCCAACTAATTCCTTGCCAATTTCTTTCTATGCTGGACTCAGTACGGGTTCGACAGTAAGTCCTAACATAAAAAGCCTCACGCAACGTATTGCTGCATCAGATTTTCACAGTAACGTATTTGCATCAGACTTTTACAGCTGAAAAGGTTCTTTCACTCGTCCTAATCATAGTCTTTGCCTACTACTAGGTTTGAAAAGATATACACTTGCTTCATCAAGATGGCGGATATCTCACTTAAAACATTCATGGCTCTGGTATGTCTCTGCCTTGCTATTAGTGGGACGATGGCACTGGAACTGTCACATCTGGCAGAAACCCTTGACCAAGAGCGTATGGTAGTCGCCAATTTCTACGATGAATTGGCTGTATGTATAAATGCACGTTACACGCACTCGCCATACTACTGCAGATTGACGAACTACCCAGAAGAGGCTAAGATTCCGTTGCAGGCCAAATGGAAACACGAGGACGTTGAGTTTGTCAATGTGAACTGTCACTACGAACCATCCCTCTGCCGATCGGCCAATGTCAGACAATACCCCACTGTGGTTGGTTACTTGGATGGGAATATGATTGCTGTTACCGAGGGCAATATTCAATTCAAAGATGTCGATGATGTAGTTGGCGTTCTGGGTATGTTATTAGTATCTTTCTACTTCAAAATCAACGTTTCTGCGGCTCTCACTTTGATCCTTGCATATCACAACTACCACATCGCATCTATCAGTGCATGATGGTGTAGATAGTATGTTTTTCTGTCAGACTGAATATACATGGTGTGTCTGTTATTGTTCTGTATGTTTCTGTTATTCATGCTGTGATCTTTTACACAGTTTCCTGGGCTAAAGCCTCAGCCAGTACACCAAACTTCGAGGAGGGAGCAGAGCTGATGAAACTTACTATCGAAAATTTCGGTGAGCGCATGGATCGGCTGATGGAACAACGTGAATTCAATGCGGAGTACAATGAGGTATGTTTCAAATTACATATTGAACTCAATATTATTACACAGTGAGTGGGTGAGTGAGTAATCATGAAGGCCATAAAATTCACGCACCTGCAAACAGGTACTCGGAGACCACATCATAGCAAATCTCAGAAAGTTAAAATTGTGCTACTATTCTCTACAATAAATGCTTAATCCGATATCGCATTGGATTATGGATATGGTATATATTGCACTTCTTGTAACTGCACAGGTTCCGTGTGTGAACCACTCCAAGTAATTGATTATAATTGTAAGGCGAACACTCACACGAAGGTATGTCTTCTACACTTTCAGGAACTACAACAGCTGATAAAGGATGTGTTAATGACACAACAAGTGAATTTAGAAGTGAAACTGAAGTCCATGGTCGAAGGTGTGCAAGAGTATGCACAGAGACAGCAACAAGCCTTACAAAAGTCTCAATCGAGCTCGGTGCAAGAAAAGCCGTCGCAGGAGCAAACAAAGCAAGTGGTAGAAACAACCCTTTCTCAGGAACAGGAAGTGGTGGCTAAGCGCGCACAGGCGAAGGACGAACGGTTGGAAATGTACAAACTCATGCGAGCTAGCGAGAAGAAACAGTACGCCGAATGGAAGAAGGTCCAGGCCATGCGCTCCGATCAGCAGGTACACATGCGCGCGCATCAATACTCGGATGCTAATACGTATACGTTTAATGTGAGATCAGCCGATGTACATGATGCTACTACATATACGTTTAATGTGAGAGCAACAGGTACACCTGTGCGCGCAGTATTCACTGAGATGCTATTACGTATACGTTTCATGTAAACAGTACTCTGCAATTCGAACACATGGTGGTATGGTGAAGATTTTGTGTAGGTGAGATGGACTTATGCAAGTGCCGAACACCACAAAAGAAACGCCCAGTGTGAGATAAAGAGTGCACAATCACGCACGCTGAAGTAGTTGATCAAATAGGTGCGCCAATCTCTGGCTCGCACGTCATCGACACCCTGACACTATATCTACAGTTTATATATGAAGGGTATATAAATCAAAACTCATCACACATCAGAACCATGTAATATAAATCAAAACTCATCACACATCTGAACCGTTTATTTCAATCTAGCGCAAGGCACAGGAAAAATTCGAAGCACAAGAAGATCGAATGCGACAACAACAAGAAGCCACCAGAGCTTTGAAAGCCGGGCAAGAGAATGGCAAGGCGTACCAACGCTATCTGCAGGACAAGGAGGACCTCATGCGGCTACACGGCATGCAGAAGGCACGTGACATGAGCACGGACATGCACACTGGCAGCCCCAAGGACATGCACCTGGGCACTGTGAAAAACATTGCAATGGGAGGCGTAGAACAACACATGGTAGACAACAGCGAACCACAGATACATGCACACGCGTTCATGGGCAAGTACATCCCCGCACAGTCCATCAGCAATGCGCTGCACAGTTCGTTGGTGATGGGTCCGGACATGATCATGGACGTAGTCCGCAAATACTCCGTCACGTGTTTCTTGCTCGCTGGCTTTATCGCCGTGTCCTCCTTGTTGCTGGTATGTGGCTATGCATCATGTGCGTACGCTAACACGCTATACACACAGTTTAGGGATTTAGGGTTTTTCAAACACGTTATATAAACAGTCTGCACTTGTGTGCACACACCATATACGCATTTGCAGCCATTAGTTGTATATGTTGCACGCTGTCCGGAGTGCTCCCGGTCTCCTTGGGCTGCAGAGAGGACTCTCGCTGCATGCCAGCATGAGATCTAATCCATACATATCGGTTGGCCCATCAGGCATACATACTAGGTGTCACAATAATGCCTGCTACGGTCGAGCATATATGAGCATACCATCTCCTGCTGCGTAGGCATGTGTGTCTGCCTCTCCACCAAGGCAAACTAGCGTAGCACGCAAGCCCCACTACGCAGTGATTAAAGCCTGGGCATAGCTGACTATACAAGTACATACGTTGCATAGCTGACTATACAAGTACTTATGCACATGTCACAAAAGTAATTGGCAGAGTGGCGCAGAACACTTGTGACTTGTCTCCCATGACCTGGCCTGGTGTCTCATTTCTCTTTTGCATCTCCTCACTCAACAGCTGGTGAACCTCAACCGCATGGCCACAGAAGATGCCTCCCCCAGCACCAAGGTAACATGTGTGCTGTTGCTGTGTATGCCTATTCTCACATACATGCACGCTATACGTTATAGTCGCTAGTAGCGTCTTCTGAGAAGTCAGTCGCTGACAGATATGTCTATACTGTGGTCGCACGCGCAACAGTGACGACAGTTGGGTTTTGGGGGTTGGGTTTTGGCGAAGCGACACGCACTGGACAAGTGGTCGCACATTATAACTTCTCTAGTGCACCCGTAGTCTGACATTATCCACTCTATCTCTCACAGAAGAACGAAGCCGGATGGGTGTAGGTTTAAACGGAGACATCAGAACATAATTAGTAGCGCATGGGAAGCCCACACGAGAGAGGTAGTAAGTAGTAACATCACACGGGAGAGGTTGGAAGTGTTAACCCCAGCCCAGTGCATCAACATAGTGATCATACTACACGAGAGAGGTTGTAAGTGTTAACACCACACGAGAGAGGTTGTAAGTATTAACCACAGCCCAGTGCATCAACGTAGTGATCATACTACACGAGGGAGGTTGTAAGTGTTAACACCAACGAGAGAGGTTGAAAGTATTTAACACAGCCCAGTGCATCAGCGTGGTGACCATATACGGCTCGTGTGTGTTGGTTGGCGGTAGTTATGTGTGTTGGTGGTGGTTGTTGTATGACTCCACCGACAGGTTCTTTAGAGGCTGGTTCAAATAAAGAAATGAAACTAATACAGAGACACTTGCATGCATGCGCAAAAGAAAAGAAACTAATTCAGAGACACTTGAAAAGAGAAGAACCTAATTCTGAGACAATTGCACGCATACGCAAAAGAAAAGAATCTAATTCAGAGACACTTGCATGCATACGCAAAAGAAATGAAACTAATTCACAAACACTTGCATGCATACGCAAAAGAAAAGAAACTAATTCAGAGACACTTGCATGCATGTGCAAAAGAAAAGAAACTAAAATAGAGACACTTCCATGCATGTGCAAAAGAAAAGAAAAGAAATAAATTCAGGAGATACTTGCATGTATGCCCGTAATCGTGCTGCCATGGTTGTAGTTTGGTATTTCTATCACACCCACTCCAATACGCCCTTGTGTTTCATATAGCTATAGCACTCATTGTGTTTCTTGCAGCCATAGTACTCACTGTCTTATAATCACAGTGTTGTTCACAGTTTTTAGGGTTTTGGGCATTCGCATACAATGCGCGTGCATGGTTTAGTATCTGGCTAAGGTCGTTTCTAATTAAACTGAGTGAATTTACACTAAATCGAGTCAATCGAGTCGAACACTCCAGAGACGACGTTACCACTATCGCGTGGAGTGTCGACGCCATTCCGCTCGGGGCATTTGAGGAGACAAAGGCATCGACAACACCCTTGAGACCTCATTGGTTGTCTATATTAACGTAGCCACGTGGTGGTCTGTGTTAACGTAGCCACGTGGTTGTCTGTGAAGGTGTTGGTGTGATGTGGTCACCTGTCTGTGATGGTGTTATGTGGTTGTCTGTGATGGTGTTGGTGTTATGAGGTCACCTGTACTTCTCTTATAGTTACGTCGCCCAGTCAACGGTCGCAGACAGCCCACAGCTATAGGCGATCCCTCCACGCAGTCAACGCATCCATCACACGATAGTAGCGGAACACCAGCTCAGTACCAATGCCACCGAACGGCCAGTACGCATACTCCACCGGATAGTTGTCCTGTACCAAGTTATGGATGTTAGAATGAGGCCCACGCCTTGTGCATGGTATGCATTCTATCGGTCGACCCACTGGGAGCGTGCAAGCATCATGGACGCCCACTCATCGCATATGGACACGTGAGATACGTGTAATATACGAACAGACACTTTGCACCCATTTGAGTTCGGGTTGTTTCCCTCAGTGAATGCTCTACGCATAAACTATTGACAGATCAGACATTCCAACAGCATTGCAGATACGTTTGATGCGCTAATCAGTTGTATCACTCCCAATCCGTTGAGATGAGACGCGAAACTGCGCTGTGAAGCTGCTACGGACGACGTCCATACAATGCAATGCAACGCATAGCCCACCCAGTACAGATCAACAGGTATTACCACATATCAGAAGAGCACGCCACACACTGTCCACAGACACACAACACTGCACACACACAACACTGCACACACACAGCACTACACACACAGAGCACTATACACACACAAGACTACACACACACAGTACTACACTCACACAGTACTACACACACAGAGCACTATACACACACAACACTACACACACAGCACTACACACACACAGTACTACACACAGAGAGCACTATACACACACAACACTACACACACAGCACTACACACACCACACACAGAGCACTATACACACACTACACTACACACACCCTATTCACTCCGAAAGGATACGCTCAGGCTCACGCACTCGCAAAGCGACCCACAAAAATCAACTTAGGTACGTGTGACACACCGCTTAAAGAACACACGAATCAAACACTATGCGCAACCACGTGGTATTAAGGAATTAATTATACCAGACGGATACATCGTTATAGATGGCACCAGATAGAATCATGTGAGCGTACGGATAGAGTTAATGTGCGCTTACCTGGAAGAGGGCGATGCGCTGGTCGTCGCCATTGGCAATGGCAGTTGCAATGATATCCCCACCCACAGCACTCCCATTCAGACCATCACCACCCAGTCCATTGACATAGTACACGCCTTGGTCATGAAGTGGCAGAACAAGAGACGTATTAAACCAAAATGACAGTGGTGATTGAGGTTTTTGAGTGGGGACGAAATCAATACAAAGCCACATACTTATATCCATGAGAATAGTAATTAGTAATAAGTAATAAGCAATTGGCAATTAATAATAGTGCTATGTGCAGGCACAGTCTGGTCTGCTACTGTCTATGTGCAATCCTAGGTAGAACTACATTTTGGTTCAAAGCAATCACTAGCAATTGCTATAGCATTGCAAAGACGTTGCGAAGGACTGCCGAGAAGTGAGTGTCACTGAGTGAACATGCTATAAGACATTAGCCTTTCACACAGCCCTACACGACTTCTCAAACAGACACCTAAAACAGACACATCAACGAGACACTTCCAACAGATACCTCAGCGAGTGTTGACAGCTCTCAGCAGATGGCACAGAATGGCAACTGGGGCTCATGCATTGGACAAGCAACAAACACTGTACTGATTCATCGCACGGATGACTCCAATACACTCCCTCCTTCATTTTTCACAACACACACACACACTACGACGGTCATTTTGAGGTTTTAGAGTTCCACCTCGAGTGTGGTGGGAGAGTCATAACATAACTAGACATATGTTTGAAACTGCGAATCACACGTTATATAACTAGTCATATATGTTTAATCTGGCCGTACAAATGCATTACTTATAAATAGTCATACACACTTAACCTTGCCCTACAAATGCATTGGGTGTCCAGTGATATCCGTATGTCTACATCTGGAATTGAGGTTCGTTTGAGTATAACGTATACATACCGTCATCCAGTTTGCCGTACAAAGGCATTTCGTGCCGTGCCCACGCCATAGGCCCAGTCCATGCGAAGTCAACCTCAACATCAGCTAACTGCATAAACGCAACACAGATGAGATAAACGACAACAGGCCAGTCAACTGCACAGACACAAAACAAATCAACAGACCACAACTAACGCAGCACAGACCTAATATTAAACAAGCCTCAGGATATACGTACACTCTGACTTAACGTTAAACATACCTCAGGATATACGTGCACTCTGACTAAACGTTAAACATACCTCACAATGTACGTACACTCTGACTAAACGCTAAACATACCTCACAATATACGTACACTCTGACTAAACGTTAAACATACCTCAGGATATACGTACACTCTGACTAAACGTTAAACATAACTCACAATATACGTACACTCTGACTAAACGTTAAACATACCTCAGGATATACGTGCACTAGATCGGCAGTGAGTGCATTGACGATGTCGTCTTTGGTGAACGGAATGGCGGAGCACAGTCCTCCGTACAGCAGCCGACTATCGGGCAACGGACGATAGTATCCCAAAGCACATCTACCAATCACAACACAAGCAGTGTCAGTTGTATTACCATGGCGATAACGGATTGTATCAGGCAGTGGGTATAGGTGAGCTACACCCCAATACACACCCATACGGCAAAGTATACAGACCCCCGTGAACGGGTAAATAAACTTAAATATATCAAACGCACAACTACAGAGCTATCGAATACCACTCACAAACACAACGAGATCACCATACGCATACGATCAGTCGCACAAGTGTCAACCACATGCACACACACGTCTATCACAAGCACACACATGTCTATCACATGCATACACATGTATATCACAAGCACACACATGTCTATCACATGCACACACATGTCTATCACAAGCACACACATGTCTATCACATGCACACACATGTCTATCACATGCGCACACAGGCCTACCCTTTGAACAGATCAGACGTAAAATTTGTTTATAAAAGGTTCATTATAGGTACCCGGCGACAAAGAAGAATCCTATTCAATCCTCAGATACACTTCACAAGCACACGTGGCAACAACGACACAACTGCCACCCACAGGAGCCCTGAGCAATACTACATTATGTCACTTGACACTCACCTGGTGTCACACACGGCGTAGTCCGTTTTGATTAAGCTGCGGAGCCTCTCCTGGCCAATAGGCTTAGTGACCACAATGGCTGTATAGTTCTTCACCAGTGCACGGTTCATCTGTCCGTTGAGCTCAGCTTTAATGTGTGGCCCCACACACAGCACCACATGCTGAGCCTGTACCACACACTCGCCCGTTGGCTGGGTGTCGCGAGGGCTGTGTGTGGCTGTGTGCGTCTGCGTCTCCTCCAATGGACTTGTGCTGTTGCTGTTCATCGCTGGCATCTCATTGGTCGATGTTGTGGCCGCGGGTGGGTGTTGTGATTTTTCCGCTCCCTGGATCGTTGGGCAACTTGTCTGTGATTATATTCGCGTGAAAAAAGAGAACAAATAAACATAGCGAAGGCTATACATGGATTTTTAGGGTTTAGGGTTTTGCATGGGTCGTATGTGTGGTCATGGCTTCAGGGTTTTCGGCGTGCTATAGCATGCATGTGAAAAGACCTCTCTGCTGTGTAGCTGTGGGTTTTAGATTTAGAGGTTTGCCTTGTGTTTATATCACTCACAACGTACCTTCATGATACCTTTTGGTCGGGTGTATACTGCATAGCCCTCTCTGCCGTGTGTGTTCATTGCACTCACAACGCACCTTCATGATACCATTCGGTCGGGTGTTTACTTCATAGCCCTCTCTGACGTGTGTGTTCATTGCACTCACAACATACCTTCATGAGACCATTTGGTCGGGTGTATACTGCATAGCCCTCTCTGCCGTCTGTCGCTGTGCCCAGTGCTTCGTATCGAGTGGCACGTGTGCGTTCGAATATCTTGACGCCCTTTTCCTCGCATGCTCGTGCTAAGCCACGCATGTAGCTCAGCGGATTGAGTGTGTAGGCCACTGGTTCAAAGGTGCCGTGCTGGTACACTTTTGTTTTGTAGTCGGCCTGTTGAATGTTTAGGGTTTTAGGGTTGAATGTTAAAGATAAATATTGCCCAATGAAAAACAACCCCCCCAAACCGCCGATACACTTACACACACACACACACCTGCACCTGCTCCTTACTTACATACACTTGGTTAGTGCACACACACACCTGCACCTGCTCCTTGCTTAGATACACTTGGTTGGTACCCAACATTTGGTTTTCCTCATTGATTTCGGCCTGTTCTTCACCCGTGCCCTTGAAGAAGCTGACTGTACATGAGTGTAACGTAGGGGAGTGTGTTGAGAGACTAGTTTCGGATATACTCATTGTTGCTATGTTACAGATAGACTCAGGGTTGCTATGTTACAGATAGACTCAGGGTTGCTATGTTACAGATAGACTCATGGTTGCTATGTTACATTCAGTCCACATCTGAGATGTGAATGAAGCAATGACGCAATGAAGGGATGGAGGAGACATACAAAGACAGATAGCAACAATCACTGGCGCGTACAGCTCAGTAGAGGTTCTAATCGCCCAATCAAATAGTAATGCGATAGGCAGCCTCTACAGGGCACAAGCGACTACGACAAGGAGACGAATGTCTCCGATAACCTACCGCGTACATTTCTCCCGTCAGTACACACAGTGCCATCATGACTGATCGACGTACCCCCGAGACTGCGATTGGTGGAGCAGGCCTCAACTTATACACATAGACATATACACATATACCTATACACATATACATGAAAACATAGAAATATACACACATACATATACACATAGACATATACACATAGACATATATACATAAACATATACACATAGAAATGTACATATATACATATACACATAGACATATACACATATACATATACACATCTACATATGTGCATTGATCACTGTCGCAACTCACACGTGTGATGCGTGCTGTTTGGTGGCAATGATGCCAATGAAATATAATGCACACCAGACACAACGACTAGTGCCACCCTGTGCGAAAGCACAACACAACCACCACAGCACATCAGTCACAACACGAGAGCATTCAACGAACCCAATCCAACAAACGGGCCCATTCCATCGGTATTTTAGGGTTTTAGGGTTTCAGTAAAACCCTAACCCATTTCCTTGGTGTTGGGACACTCGGCCACTCACCCGTGAGGATTCCCGTGTTCGTGAGGTCGCACAGAATGCCGTACTTGTTGATGGTGGCCACTGTTCGCTCCTGTGCTGCGTACGCCTCCTTCATCATTCGCTTGGTGGCTGCAACGCCTACGCCATGGACCATCTCATCAACATCCAACGCAAACATGGGCAGCAGAAACCCCCCATTCATCCCAGACGACCCCCACCCCACCACCTCACTCTCCAGCACAGCCACCTGCGCAGGCCAAGCAAGCCAAGCATGCGAAGCAAGCGAAGCAGCGCGCACACAGCATCACACGTGTCAGTGGCACACGTGAAGTACTTTTGAATGCCAATGCACCGCACCAGATGCGCCATGAAATCTCTTCACTCACTAACAACGATTGTGTTAGTTTGTGGATACGCTGCAATATGCGACTACAGCACAATGTGTACATGTACAAATCTCCATTGGGCGGACCAATGGGCAGTATGTTGGACTATCAAACCCCTCCGAGCACAACGCTGAACCCCAAAATTAGCCGATACGTGGGCACAAGAATACACACACACGCACTGCTGTGTATCTAGACACCAGCAAGTATGCAGCCCTATTTGTTAAGCATTGCACCTACCTTGAGTCCTTTTTCTGAGAGGGCCAGGGCAGTGCAGAGTCCTGCCGCCCCCGCACCCACCACGCACACATCCACCACTTCGGTGGGTGGGTGGGCGGTGTTGTTTGTGTCTGTGCGCCTGAGCGAATGGACGGCCTCGCTGACTGTCGCAAGCACAGCCGAGTGCTTGGAGTTCAGATACTCAAACAAGGACACGCGAGGCACGGGCTGTTCCTGGGCCACAGTGGCGTAGTACGTCTCCTGCGCACCCCACCGCAGCCATTGCGGTGTGCTGTGTGACGGGAATGACAGGCAATGTGCATGGTTAGGCGGAAACGTAAGGTATATGCAATGCCCTTTTATGTCATCCGACTACAGAAAGAAGGTTAGAGGCGGAGACAGAGCTCAGCAATACGACTGAATGACTAAAACAGCAACAACGTAGGAAGCAGATATGCGAAGGAACACAACCGATAAGGGGCATCACGAGCTGCTTGGTCAATTTGAAAACCCACTGACTGTGATCAAGCGTACTATGATACAGAAAAAAATTGTGTGAATGTTGTATAAAACCCATATAT